GTTACCTTCCATTCTGGCCAAAAAGGAGAAAACAACAGTTGCTAAAATAATAGTTGCCAGTTTTCTTCTGTCTACTAGACAGGGAGTGAATTGCGTATTTAAAAATGCCGTTCACTACTATATCACATGCAGTATTCATTATTTTGGTAATCCCCTGAATCTTTATTCAACAGACAATATTATTAAAACCTCTTTCACATGAACTATTAATAAATATAATAAGTGGCTTTTTAAAGCAGTCGTAAACTGCCAAAGCAAATTTTAAACAGTGGGCCCCCAGGAGGTGTTTGCTATAATGTTCTAGTATGCACAGTCTATTAGCCTATTAGACTTACCTTGCAGGCCATTCCCTCCAGCACTATGATGCCAGTGCTCTCCTTCATTGCCAGTGCTTCCATCTTCTTTCAGGTTCAGCATCTTTGGCCTCTTGATTGGCCGGGCCTGGATGATATTACTCCTGCTAATGCGCACTGGAGCTACTTTATTTCGGCACAGGCCCTTGCCAAGCTACACATGTGGTTTAGTCACACAAGCGGTGACAGCCAAGGAGGAGCGATTTACCTGGTCCGGACCTAAGCCGCTGCAAACACAGAAGGAGCTACTTCCACTGCTGCCCAGTCAGCTGCAGCAGGGGAATCTCCCATCCAGAGCTATACGTAATGATGTCATTGACCTTATAGGTACACTTTGTAAAATTTGGTCATTGACATTGACCTAATATGCGTATGTGGCCATATCAGGTCAATGTCAGCACAAGCATCCCACTCCTTTATTTATTTGCAGCTGCAGGTTGGGGAATGCCCCAGCCCACAGCTGACTGGATGGGTGGCCCATGACAATTATGTGTTCGGAGCTCAGATTTGGTCTGGACCTGAGCTCATCCCTAGGGCAATTATGACAGAAGAGACATACAGTGTCTCTTCTGTCATAAAAAAAAACCTACATGTCCCCATTTTTTCTCTTAATGACTTTACTGTAAGGAAAATAATATAATAATAATAATGTTATTATTAATATTGTTAATAAAAAAAAACAGGGCAAAACAAATGCATCTTAAAGCAGAACTCTGGTTATACATTTTCTTAACCCTTGCAGTGGGACGACCCCCAAACAGCAAGGGCTAAGTGCTCGTTTTGGTCTAGCTTTAAAAATAACAAAGTTATACTCACCAGATCCCCTGAGCTGGCTTTCTCTAAGACCGCCTCACTTCCCCTCCTCTGCAGCGCACTAACGTCCCGTGTGTCATCACATCCAATACTCTGTGTATACTGTGTATAGGACGTGAGGTCGCCGAGGGACATACCTTCCCTGCAGTGGTGGAGGAGAGAGGCGGAAGGGACCTGTCTTAGAGCAAGCAAAGAGGATCTTTGTTATTTTTTAACCTAGACAAAAAGGAGCACCTAACCCCTTGCAGTGTGGGGGTAGCAATGGTAAGAAAAAAAATTACCTGGAGTTCTGCTTTAAAAATTAGAACTGGTGCCTACAACTGTTGCCTACCTAAAGCTGGCTCCTAACAAAATCCTGCTGGCTCCTGGACTGGACAGACTGGCTCCTGAATTCCATATTCATTTCTCCACCCCTGAATGGATGCATTTTCTAATATACCTCTTCCCTATTTGCATGACAATTCTCATGAAAAGCATGAAAACATTTGATCATATCTCCTTCAGAAATAGTGAGGGCTGCACGATGAAATGCAATAGCAGGTTTTCCATATGTTTCGAGGAAGTATAAGAGCCTGGCACAGATGGTTCTAGGGAAGCAGGTGGTTTAGACGGCCGCATTACTAATGTTAGTCAATAATTAATCTGATCTTGTCTGAACGATCTCTCTGACAATCTGATCTTTCATCTTGCAAGCTACACGGGCGTGCAAAATGATCTGTGCATGTTTTGGCTTTTGCAGATGTGCAAGTAGACAGAAGCTTTTGTGGAACAATTTAAAAACCATTAGCTGGCTCTTCCTAAATCTGTTACTGCCTGGGGAGATCTAGTGCATCGATTGCTCTGAAACACCCGTGCACCAAAAAGAACACTCGATGAAAATAAAACACATCAGAAAAGTGAAAACACTTTCTAAGATGTATTCTTAACTGCGCGATAACGTCAGGTCCAAAGGGATTTCTTCCAAAAAGTATCCGAAAAAGCACTGAAAGTGTCTCTACTACGACTAGGACTTTGCTATTCAAGAAACACTGTGGCTTTAAGATCTTTTTCCTACATTTGTTCCTTGATCTGATCCTCAGCAAACAAGCACAGCTGACTGTTATCCCTGTCTGGGAACAACTTGTATCCAGCAGTTAATCTGTTACATATTTCTTGCATAGTTACAAGTTAAATCTTGGCAGCGTGTTCGCATTATTATTCAGCGTTCTAATGAAATCTCGGTGACAATCAAAAGGTGTTTTTGAAGCTGGCCATGCACACATGTTATTTATATTATTGTAGTCCTGGAGCAATCCCTTCTGCAGTGATTTCCCTATGCAGGCTGTGAAAAGGAGAGCTCTTCTTGTGTGGGTTACTTGGAAACAAAGCATATCCCAACTCGCTTTCCTCTCCTTATTAGGACACAAGAACCCGCTCTCCACTGTCACAAGTGTCTGATCACAGCATTGCAATGGTCTACACCAGTCACAGCACAACATGGCAGGGAACTCTCCACTGAACTCTATCTATATCATCCAACTTATCCATATTAATTGTGTCATGCCTCCACACAAGCAGAAGACGGGCTCCAGTACTATATGCATACCATCAGAGGAAACTCTGCAAATCCACCATCTATTATCTCTCTATCTATCATCTCTCCACATATCTATCTATCTATCTATCTATCTATCTATCTATCTATCTATCTATCTATCTATTTATTTTCTTTACCATCAATTAACTGTCTGTCTCTTTATTTATTATAGGTATTCCTATACGGCTGTCAATTATCATCTAATTATCTATATATCTGTCAGTTATCAACCAACTATCTGTCTAATATCCATCTATCAAACATCTATAGATCTGTCTATCATTTATCAAACATCTACAGATCCGTATATCATCTATCAATCAACTATCTATCCATCAATCACTCTTACCCATATTTACAGTGTGATGGAAGGAAGCAGAAGATGGGCTTCAGAAGTAAAAGCATAACATCAGAGGAAACTCTTTGGATACTCTATCTGCCTATCATATATCAATTATCTATCTATCACCCATCTATCCACCTATATGTCTATCATCTATCAATCATCCATCTATCCACCTATATGTCTATCAATTATCTATCTATCTATCAATCATCCATCTATCCACCTATATCTCTATCAATTATCTATCTATCTATCTATCAATCACCCATCCATCCACCTATCTGTCTATCATCTATCAATCATCCATCTATCTACCGTTCTGTCTATCATCTATCAATCATCCATCTATCCACCTGTATGTCTATCATCTATCAATCATCCATCTATCCACCTATCTGTCTATCATCTATCAATCATCCATCTATCCACCTATCAATCATCCATCTACCCACCTATATCTCTATCATCTATTAATCATCCATCTATCCACCTATATGTCTATCACCTATCAATCATCTATCTATCAATCATCCATCTATCCACCTATATGTCTATCACCTATCAATCATCTATCTATCAATCATCCATCTATCCACCTATCTGTCTATCATCTATCAATCATCTATCTTTCTATCCATCTGTCTATCATCTATCTTTCTATCCATCTGGCTATCATCTATCTTTCTATCCATCTGCCTATCGTCTATGTTTCTATTTATCTGTCTATCGTCTATCTATCCACCTGGCTATCATCTATCTTTCTATCCATCTGCCTATCATCTATGTTTCTATTTACCTGTCTATCGTCTATCTATCCACCTGGCTATCATCTATGTATGCACTATCTGTCTATTATCTACCAATCATCTATCAGTCATCTATTTATCTATCAATCGTCTATCTTTTCATCAACATTTACAGTGTGATGGCTGGAAGGAAGCAGCAGATGGGCTTCTGTAGTAAAAAGCATAACATCAGAAAAAGTTTTTCAAATGCTCTATCTATCTCTTTCTCTCTCTCTCTCTCTATCTCTCTCTCTCTCTCTCTCTTTATATCTCTATAACTCTTTCCATCTATCTATATCTCCAATTGTGTATCCATCTATTTCTGTCTCTCTCTTCCTCTCTTAATTTTTTTCTATCTCTCTCTTTCTCTCTGTCTATCTCTTTGCCTACCTCTCTTTCTTTCGATATCTCTCTCTTCCTATCTCTTTATCCATCTCTCATTCTATCTCTTTCTTTCTTTCTATTGTCTTTCTATGCCTCTCTTCCTCTATATCTCTCCCTCTCTCTCTTTCTCTTCTCTATCCCCCTCTCTCCCTGGCATCGATCATCATCTGATAGGGATGATGAGGGAGCGGGGTATAGTAGGTAGTAGAAGGAGGAGCGGTAGAAGTAGTGTGTGGGGTACTCACAGTCGCGGAGCACTTACTGTAGAGTACATGGCACATGCGCCGCGTCTTTGTTGGAGTTGGCCTCAGTGAGTGCCGGGGGCCCCCAGTTGTTAGTCTGGGCCCCGGGATTCTCCCCCAGCTCAGGAGAAGCTGTGCCTTTCCCCTGCCACATAGTCCCCAGCCAGGCTGGCGGGAGCGTCCATACGATGATGTGTATGTGTATAGGAGCCGAGTCTTCCCACAACTTCCTAATCCATCCGAGTGATCGCAGACGGAAGTCACAGGAGCATTCTCCACTGACATATCCCCCCATCCAATGTACTGACAAGGGGCGTGCTTCCTGATACTTCTCTCCATCCCTATCCCAGGCTCTATACACTGCCTCACCTGTCCGATCCACGGACTGCCCTCCTCAGCAATCCTCCCGGTGCCCCCTGTGGCTCTGTCATGGCCATGTGCCCATCATGTGGTATGAAGAGAAGTGAGCGCACCCAGCGGACAGCCCCGGAGCCTCCTTACCTCGTAGCTTTCCGTACAAAGTATGAGCGGGTGAAGTCCAGGTGGTCGTCCAGCCAGGACTCTATGCCCTCCTGATCCGGGGGATGCGGGCGGCAGCTGCCCTCCATGGTGTGTGTGTGATCCATGGAGAGGAGGAGGAGGAGGGAGGAGGAGGATACACAGTACACAAGGCTCACAACTCACTGCCACACACAATACAACACGGACTCCTCACAACTTTCTGCTTCTTCTTGTTGGGGAAAGCCTATTGTTATACTCAGTGAACCTTGTGTGAGGGGGAAATGTGAAGAGGAGCCTTGTGAGGGCTGTCATGTCTCTCCATGGGACTGGTGACAGGAGAGGGCAGGCTGCTAGTAATGAGACAGCTGTCCCCAGGAGTGCCTATCAGCTGACCTCCCTCCTCCCTTCATGTCCACCTTCATTGCTTATGGATTGTGCTCACAGGCTTTCAGGTCAGGGAGCAGGGCACAGGTCTCTACCTGCACGTATCAGGTCTGTGGGTGCAGGTATCAAGGTGCAGGTCTCTAGGTGAGGCTCTCTGGGTGCACGTCTCTAGGTGAGGCTCTCTAGGTGCAGGTCTCTAGGTGAGGCTCTCTGGGTGCAGGTATCTAGGCGAGGGTCTCTGGGTGCACGTCTCTAGGTGAGGGTCTTTGGGTGAGGGTCTCTGGGTGCAGATCTTTAGATGGGGGTCCCTGGTTGCAGGTCTCTAGGTGAGACTCTCTGGGTGCAGGTCTATAGGTGAGGCTCTCTGGGTGCAGGTCTCTAAGTGAGGCTCTCTGGGTGCAGGTCTCTAGGTGAGGCTCTCTGGGTGCAGGTCTCTAAGTGAGGCTCTCTGGGTGCAGGTCTCTAAGTGAGGCTCTCTGGGTGCAGGTCTCTAAGTGAGGCTCTCTGGGTGCAGGTCTCTAAGTGAGGCTCTCTGGGTGCAGGTCTCTAAGTGAGGCTCTCTGGGTGCAGGTCTCTAGGTGAGGCTCTCTGGGTGCAGGTATCAGGGTGCAGGTCTTTAGGTCAGGCTCTCTGTATAGGTCTATAGGTGGGGCTCTCTGGGTGCAGGTATCAGGGTGCAGGTATCTAGGTGAGGCTCTCTGTGTGTAGGTCTATAGGTGGGGCTCTCTGGGTGCAGGTCTCTAGGTGAGGCTCTCTCGATGCAGGTCTATGGGTGCAGGTCTCTAGGTGAGGCTCTCTGTGTGTAGGTCTATAGGTGAGGCTCTCTGGGTGCAGGTATCAGGGTGCAGGTCTCTAGGTGAGGCTCTCTGGGTGCAGGTATCAGGGTGCAGGTCTTTAGGTCAGGCTCTCTGTATAGGTCTATAGGTGGGGCTCTCTGGGTGCAGGTATAAGGGTGCAGGTCTCTAGGTGAGGCTCTCTGGATGCAGGTCTCTGGGTGCAGGTCTCTAGGTGAGGCTCTCTGGGTGTAGGTCTGTAGGTGAGGCTCTCTTGATGAAGCTATTAGGGTGCAGGTCTCTAGGTGAGGCTCTCTGGGTGCAGGTATCAGGGTGCAGGTCTCTGGGTGCAGGTCACTAGGTGAGGGTCTCTGGGTGCCGATCTTTAGGTGGGGTCTCTGGGTGCAGATCTTTAGGTGGGGGTCTCTGGGTGCAGATCTTTAGGTGGGGGTCTCTGGGTTCAGATCTTTAGGTGTGGGTCTCTGGGTGCAGGTCTCTAGCTGAGGGTCTCTGGGTGAAGGTCTCAGGGTGCAGATCTTAGCGCGAGGGTCTCTGGGTGCAGGTCTCAAGGTGAGGGTGTCTGGGTGTGGGTTTTAGGGTGCAGGCTGCTGGTCTCTGGTAGGAATTTTAGGAGGGACCCCATTTAAAAAAAACCAAAAAAATGCGCGTGGGGTTTCCCCTCAAAGTCATACCAGGCCCTTAAGGTCTGGTAATGATTTTAAGGAGGAACCCAACCCCCAAAAATGGGGGGACAAAAACACGGGGTCCCCCCTAAAATTCCTAATCAGACCCTTGATCAAAGCACAGGCCTGGCAGGTCAGGAAAGAGCGCCCCCCCGCCATACCAGGCCACATGCCCTCGTCACTGGGAGTGTGCTTTTCACTGGGAGGGTGCTTTTCTAGGGTCGGCGCTGAGTGGCATTCTGACAGATGCAAGCAAATTATAAACAATTGGGCGGAGGTAGCGCTAGCTCCGCCTGACTGTTTACATTTGTCCGGCACCTGACAAGACTTAGCTGTGAGCCATGATTGGGCAAACTCATCATTACTTTGCCCAATCATGGCTCTCCCAGTCTTGCACCAGACCTGTGATCAGGTGCATTGCTTTACTCAGTCAGGGCTCTCACAAGGCACTGTGCAGTACCTTGTGGGGCGATCAGCAGGCAAATAGCCCGTCGCATGCCCTGATAGTTTGTGTCTTCGCCTAAACACACAAACTACCGATGTTGGAGACGAACTGTTGTTCGACACGAGCATCGAGCCAATTCCTAGTAAACGCATGAAAAGGAGCCTTTTATGAACATGACACACATATGCTAAAAAATACATTGTTCCCTGCTCCTTCTCATGATTAAAGGAGAACTATGGGGTCAGTGTTTTTCCCCATAGCTCTCCTTAGGGTAACGGGAGGACACAAACTAGCGTCCTCCCGTCACCCTAAGCTCAGTATACTGCGAGCTACATACTGAGACGCCGGAGCGGATCCCGACATCGATGTCGAGATCCGCCCAGCTGTGTGAGTGACAGCTGGCTCTGCCTATCCAGAGACAGAGCCAGCTGTACCCGCCCCTTCCCCCGTCCGTTCCGCCAGTCAGCGCTGGCGGATCGGAGGGGGGAATCCAGTCAGAGAGCCGTGGCAGGATCGAGAGGTGAGCGAACGCCGCTATGTGTTCGCTCACCTCCCGATCTACTGAGCCGACCTGTGACAGTCTCATTGTCACAGGTCGTCTAGAACTATGAGGTGAGTGGAAATCACTCATCTCATAATTCTCCTTTAATGTTCATTGATTACTATGCCTGAAAAATAAATGTATGCCAAACTTTCTTTTTCTATGACTTTTTTCTTTATTTGACCTTTCTATCAGGTGCTGCTTCTGGTTTTGCTGAGAAATATCAGTAAAAAAACTGAGGTGAGACATTTCTAAAAATGGGATTGAAAAAAGGCAGGAGCACCCATTGGAAGCACCAACCAACATTAGGTATAGCTTTCATCATTACTTCTTAGACACACTTCAGACACACTTCAAAGTTATCCAACAGCTTTCATAATGTAATGAAACAACTTGAGAGACCTTGGGCATCTGTCATCAACATCTGTATGTGAGCAGACACAGCATGAATAAAAACACTAAGCAAAACGAATATGTGTGTCAATTAAAAATCTTCTTATTGCCTTTTTTTCATAGACTACAGTAGCCATTTCCACAGTTTGATTTAACAGTCATCATTTCACATACACTTTCATCGGTTACAGAAAGTTATCTTGAGCTGTTGTGTAGGAATTTGTAACTGCGGGTATTTCAGTCAACATACACTGCAGACTGAAAAAGAAATGGCAAGAAAACTATATTGTATAAGGTTAAGATGCCCAGACATGAGCAGAGATGTTCAGAGGTCTCTTATAGTCGTATTCTAAGTGTGTATATAGAATGCTTCCAACTTCCCTCCAATTAGTTATTTGCTCACATGTTGTTCATGTGGACAATAGGATTATTTAAGGCTTCCATCGGCACATGTATACAACGGTCATAAACTGTGAGTTGTGGCCTCCTATACAAAAAAATGTCCATCATTCATGAAGACTGCCCCATGTCTGTCAGATATGACCATTAGCATGGGTGGACAAAACTCCTAAAGACCAGGCTTCCTGCTGCATCGAATTAGAAATACTGACTGTTTTTCCTTTTAAGTTAACATGTCTTCTATATGAAATAGGTAAACTCTCAGGGAAGATGTAAAGGAAGCATTTGAAGTTGATTGCATGCACAGTATGTTTATATATATATACATCCTGTAGAGCATGCTGGAGAGCAGTGAATCCAAAGGTACTGTGCCATGGAAATAGTTCCTTGTGGTTCACTATTGGTCCCTCACTTTGATGGGCAGCCTCACTGACCAATTATGGACAATTGCGGGTGCAATTCTAGAAGTTACTATTTGCATTTTAGAGCACACCAGGGCTCTTGGATTCCATGGTGCTCTACTAGCTGAATAAAAATCCAACCCACACCTTTTCCTTTTTACTCCGTAAGAAGGTGCAATGGTTCTACTGTATAAATGAAAAAAACACACCAACAGTTAAAGACCTCAAGGTTACACCCCTTTCAAAAGGTGCTGTTATTGCAACTAAGGCCTCACTAAAGATTTTAGGTCATGGTGTGCTGGACATCTTTTTTGAGTGCTCTACCAGGCATGTAAGCATACATATACTCGTCTGCAATTACCTTCTGTACATTTCTATTGGTAGTATAGCATCTGTAAATGACAAGTTCAGGTTTTTGGTTTTTTTTACCAAAAAACTTCCCAGTCTTCTCTATAGCCCGCTAAACACGCAGAGCCTAGCCTGTACAAGTGTACATGTTTTGGATTTCTATATATTAAGAATTTTCCAGTATTATGGTTTGAATTCAGTGGCTGCAAATAAAAATTAATTGAACACATGCTAATTATTGGATTCAAATGTACATGTCCAAGATGTTAAATAGTGATAGCAACATCAGCAATAAACCTTTTACGGTAAGCTCCATAACAACGACTAGAGGCCACCACCTAAAATTGGTGGAGAAAGGATTTCAGCAGAAGGGGGTTCTTATCGGTTAGAGCAGTTAGGGTCTGGAACTCGCTGCCGCAAGCAGTGATTTCACCTTGGAGTGTTGAATTGTTCAAAAAGCATTTGGAGGATTTCCTCAGAGACCATAACATACAGGGGTGCAGGTACACTAAAGAACAAGATCACACATGGACTCATACACACGCATACCCATGCAGAATCACATGCATACACACAATGGGTTGAACTTGATGGACCTGTGTCTTTATTCAACCTCAAATACTATGTAACTATGTAAATGTATTAATGAACTGCCCTGATATCTGTTATTTGTTTTTTAATTTTATTTCTAATTTTAAACTTTTTTTATATACTGTATATTTGCTCATGGCATATACAGGCTCTTATTTGTGCTTGGTACATACTTGCTAAGTACATATAAGTGAGTG